AAGATGTTCTCGTTCCCTCCTTTCGGTATGACGGGTACGTCGGGCCCTTAGGGTCTCGTCTGAAGCTGTGTGAGCTTCAACTTCAAATTCATTCTTAGTATCGTGGTCCGACTGAACTAGAGGGTCGTCCAGGGGACGTCTCTCTTCAGGAGCCGGTACAAACGTGGATGCCATCTCAGAAGTACTCTCCCCACATACGGCGCCAAGATGTTTCGGGGTTTTCTGATGTCCTGCGGGAGAGTTACAATTCCGAGACTAGAACCGGACGCCTGTACCTGCAAAACAAACGGATGCTCCGGATGATTGGAGATCCGCCTCCGACGGTCAAGTTAGTACTTGATTATGGAGTAATTAATGCGGAAATTAAAGTGATTGGGTCTCTCTAGGTGAGAGAGTTTAATGTGTGTAATCTGCGTAATCTCCCTTAATGAGGATTAAGGGAGGTATTTATAACCTCGGGAAACGTGCCAATCTAGGTTTAGGTTAACCTTGGGCTGATTGGGCTTCCCACGGAAGTTGGGCCTAGGTGATCGATTATCCCAGGTGTCATGGGAAGGACACGTGTCGTGTCGTAATTGGTCCATAGTGGATGGATCATTGCTTGACACGTGGCAGGCTCCTATTGGCCCATGTGACGGACACATGGCGGAACCTAATTGGTCCACTTGTCAGATGGTGATTGGTGGGGAAAAATCCCCTAATCAACTACATTTAAGATTATGTTCCTTTGATTCAAATCATCTATAAGGCATTCATCAAAACTAGAAAATCAATGTTTTTTAAGATATAAAATAAACTTATTTAGCCTATTCACACACACACACACACACACACACACACACAAAAAAAAAAACTTAGGGCTTGTTCATATTTACTTATTTTCAGTTCAGTTCAGTTCAGTTCAACTCCAATCAGTTCAGTTCAGTACAGTTCAGCTCAGTTTTTAATTTTTTTGTTTTAGATGTTTTAGCATATTACAACAATGACAATAATTATAATAATAATAACAATAATAACAATAACAATAACAACAACAACAACAACAACAATAATAATAATTATAATAATAATAATAATAATTATTATTTTATTTTAAATTATATTCGTCGTTCAAAATGGTCACATGTTTTTTATAGTTGAATTCATTGACAAAATGAGAGTACTACACAACAGTTACTAGCTATCATAATTGGTTAGTTCTCCGTCTTCTTCTTCTTCATTAAGTTGCTCCATTACCTCAGCATTCCTCTGAATTGACTCCCATATCTGATTAGTTATTTGGTTTCATACAATATCCATAGCTGCTTTTCTGTTATCATCGAACATAGTATGATCTTCTGTTGGTCCCATGACTTCAACTTGTGCGTGAATGGAATCCCTAATTCATGTAAACGAACAAAATTGTGTAGAGTACAACAAGCAACGATTGACTACAGTAAAATATTGAAGAATACTTTTTATTTATATATATATTTAAAATATAATACACAAAAATTTAATAATTTAAAATACAGAGTTATTTTTAAAACATTTTTATATTTTTTACAATCCACTATATATATTATCATTAATTTTCATAAACATTTTCATATATTTTTATGCATTTTAATTTTTCAGTTCAGTTCAGCTCAGTTCAGTAAATATGAACAGGCCCTTATTTAGCATGTAATCTATATTATTTAAACTTATCTAAACTTATTATTGTCTGTTAAAACAATAAACTTATTATTATGTTATCTTAACTTGGCCCATTTATTGATAGCTTTGTCATGATCAAGAAGGCCCATTATTACAACCAGGACCCTCAGTGTCCATTAGTCCATTACATCAAGAAATTGTCTAAAATGGTCATCAAAAACTTCATTGAGTTCATGGTAACCTTAGAAGAGAAAGACAACAACGCAGAATTGAATTAAGTGCCCGCAATGTGAAGGATAATTGAATTGAGTTCATGGTAACCTTATAATGTTTTACTCTCATCTTGTGCTCCAAATCTTCTAACATAAAGCTATCACTATCCCTAAATGGCTATGTAACCCTGTGAAAATTCACTTACGTGAATAAACACATAAGTATGATTGGCGCGAAATGCAAAAAACATCTAAAGGGACAGGAGTCACCAAAAAATCTTTGAAGAAGATAAAACTTGTTGAATAATTAAACAAATAACTTCACTAGGATTAATAAAGTTGGATTGTTAGCTTTTTGACGCTTAAACTAATCAATTAATTAAAGAAGAGAAGTTTAATCCACTCTTGTACTTTATTAAATTTATTTTACCTTTAGGCTTTAAGAGATTCATCACTTTACTCTCTTCGAAATGTTAGTGCCATTTGCTTGTCGGTGATACTGAACCTGATGAACAAACTTAAAAGATAACATTGCCTTAAGTATCCACTTCAATCAACAAAGCTGTCAATAGTTTTCCACAAGTACAATTGAATGGTATTATTGTAGTAGAAATGAAAATGAAAACAAATACGAATCATAATGTTGGTATTTGGTAAACATAAATCCTGTTACATGTTTGATGAAGAAATCATCATGAAATTCTCATTTAAGCTTCTTTATTCTCCTTGTTTTTCATAGACTCAAACCTCCCACTTTTCTCCGAAAACTTAGTACTCGAATAGAACTTCAAGTAGTCCTTAAAGCTGTAATTCTTAGGATATAACAATTTTTCTGCAGGAGAAATAACAGCATCTCCTGCAGGATTGTAAAACGTAGCAACAGACAATCTGCTTCCACATTTTCCTGTCATAACGCGATGCAGAATGCTCTGATACCTTCCATGCCTAAGCACTTCGATCTGATCCCCTGTATTGATAAAGATCGTGTTGTTCTTAGAAGGCGGTATCTTAAACCATTTACCATCTTTGAAAAACTCGAGGCCTGGAACTTGATCATCTTGCAGTAACAGAATGATTCCGCCTGCATCAGTGTGCTCGCGGAGGCCTCTGACAAGTTCAGGTTCGGACATTCAGGGTATTTAGCCACTTTTGTTCCTACTGCAGGGCCTTTGATTCCTGAGAATGTTTTCTTTATGTGGTCTTTTTCTAGTCCAAGATTTTCACACATTAGCTTCGGATAGTTTTTTCAGCAACCTTAACTAGCTGATTGACGTAAATCTCCATCGTTTTCCTGCAGATCATAAGCAAAGATTTTACCATTTAGCTGATGATTCTGACAGATTTTGTTAAACTCACACTATGAATAAATGAAGTTTGTATGAATATATAATTTGTTTACTAACCGGAAATCTTCAGAGAAATCAGCAAAATTTATTTATGTTAGACTCGGGCGATGCCAAATGAAGAAGCTGCTTTCCCAATCTCTGTTAGAAGCATTCTCCTTGTTCTCCAAAGCCTTGCTAATATCTGACTTGAAGAAGCCATCTTTCAATTTTTCTTCATAATATATATTGATGAATTGCTTCACTTTTTCCATCAACTCCTTGTCTATGCCATGATTTTCTATCTGAAAATGTAACAATTCACACCCATTTTAATCTATCAATCTGAATTGCATAAATGAATATATCCGCTCCCCTATCTTCTTCATGTTTTGAACTTTTTAGCGAGACAATCACCATCCAAATCCGTAACAAATTTAAAATAACAGGGGGAACTATCTTTGGGACTTGTATATGTATCATGTAACAAAGTTGAAATCACTTATGCAGTTATGCTATTAATTGTTGTAAACTTATAAAAATCAATCTTCATTAAGTTTCGTTAACATTTTAATCTTGTTTATTAGTGAGTTTAAGCTTATGTATTGTGTAATATAGACTGATTAGACTATAACTAATCAATAAAATATCAGGCATATTTTCTATAACGAAAACTATATCATATTATGTCATCAATTCAAACATATATTTTCCCGTATATCAAGCATATATATAATACACGCACAAAATTTATGAACGCATGATTTTAGTACGATCTAAGAGACATTATCAAATATATCGCTATTATTTTTATGATATTTATTCAAAAAAAAATAAATTCAACTTACTTGGAAAAATCCCCATTTTTCACAGGCATGATGTAAAAGTGCCATTGTTTCACCTCTTTTCTCACCTTCAAGCTGACCAAAGTTTATGGTTTGGTATCTCCATTTTCTCTCTTTAGTTATCTTATTAGTCCTAGAGATAATGAATTGACATAGTGTAACTTTGAGGGGTATTTATAGGAATAAATCAACCTTTTTTTTTTTTTTTTTATTATATTTTTTGTACTCCTTAATATAAAATAACTTTTATATACAGTAGTACTAAAAATGACACACAAATAATTTATTTATTACCGTGATCTTTGGGGTGTTAGATTCTTCGTTAAGGTAGTTGCAATGGTACTGTAAAATATTGTTTTAAATTCAACTGTAACTTGGGTGACATCCTCCTTGTTCTACGTCTTTAAATTAACGTAATTGGTAATTCTACCAAACAAAAAAATCCATTAAACTTTACCTAATACATACGTTTATTATTTAAATGGTACTATTATGTTAGAAAGTCTAAGTTATTTATTAAATTAGTTGTCTAGATTTCTAAGCTAGCTAATTGAATTTTTTTTTATAATATTACTGTTATTCATTATTGGGTTGAATAGGTTATATCAATCTGTAAGGTTGTACTATATGTATATTTAACTTTACGACAAATAAGTTGTTAGAATATGTCTTGAATTGATTTGTTTCCAATCCCTATAAACAACCATGGATCAAAGTCTTGAGATTCATAAAACATTCTATGCTCAGGGACGTAGCTAGCTAATCGTGATTGATCTTAATCACAAAATTTTGAATGTACTTGTTTGTTTTTCGAATTTTTCTTGCGGTTATTATACACAAGTCATATTTGGATTCAAAAATTGAAGTTATAGTTTCATGTATTTGTTAGTTGTTGTTTTGATTTTTGTTAAAGTGATTGAGTAATGTTATTAGTTTAACTTTCACTGGCCTAAATTAATTTTGGTTTTATAATACGGTAAAATTTATTTGTTAATATAAGTAGCTTGTAATTTTCGGAATATGCGAAAAGTGGTCACAAATTCATTGGACTACAAAAATCAAAGACACAAAATTGATTTTTTAATACGATTTCATGATTAAAAAAAAAAAGTGAGCAATAATTTGGCCTAAACCAATAAGCCTTAACGAGTAACGACTTACTTTAGTTGATAGGTATAGAAGCACTTGACTACTTGAGTCATTATCTTAATTCCTTAATTGCAATTTGCAACTAAGTCTAAATTGTTAATTTGTGAATGTAGACTAAAAAGTAAAACCACTCTTAAGTCAAAAACTGGGAGTCTCACTTCCAATGGGCATTGTTATTGCTAATGAATTACATAGTAGTTTCTTCATTCGATTTAAGTTTTGCGTGGAAATAAGAGTTTGAGGATTATATTGATTAAACATGGTACCAATAATATTGAAACGTGAAATGAAAATATAATGAACATTCACAAGTTTAGTTTGAGTAATATAGTAGCAAATTAAACTTAAAGTGAAAGGACTAATTAGTTCGTATATAAAAAAAAGAAATAATTTTGTAAGAGAGTAACATATAATTTAGATAGTTATTAAAAATGAAAGCCCTTAAAACTTAATTCAGTTGAGAAAAACATTGTTCAAATCTTCTCACACATAGACTACATATTGAAAATTATTATTATTATTATTATTATTATTATTAATCTCAAAAACATACAAAGTTATACAACCTATAGAAAATTAGTGGGAAGCCGAGAAACAATCTGGGCCCCCACTCCTCTAGCTATTGAAAAGCCGATTCTAGTAAAGATATGATCTGCAGCACGCGCCCCAATGTCCCGAGTCTTCGAAAACTTCTGGATCCGCTTCAGCAATGCAACAACCTCCTTTTCTAACTCCCCAAGAGAAGAGAAAGAGAAAGGAAGGAAGCCATATCCTATTGCTCGACAACTAGAATCATACTTCACCCGCTTCCGATTAGCCGCATCAGTCACTACCCGTCCAGGAACAAAGTCAGAAAGCCCAAACTGTGTCAATGGAGAAGACCTTGTCAAGTCAACACAGACATCGCGACCACGATCCCATGAATAAAGTAACACATCTGCAGGTTTGAGAGCCCCGTCGTTCCCTCCAG